CAATGATTTATGAAGCAACCTAGGTAGTTTAGATTATTTAATGATATTAAACTTTAAAGAATACACAAGAACGGCATTTGTTAAGGTAGTTATCTCTCTGTGTCTCTTTATTTTTTTTTTTATTACGCGTTCCGATCAACGGTTAAATTTATTATCACAACCCATAACGGGCTGTAGGTATCAATTTACATCTGCAAGGCAATGGACAGATAAAAGATTTGGTTTATTCACTTTTAACCAAATTAAAAACCATACCAAATTTGTATTAGAGTTGGCTACAAACTGGAGCATAACGGGTAAGGATATAGTCTTGGGTCAAAAGACCTTAATGAAGCTGTTATTATAGAGGTTTTCTATATTAAGGCTTTCTAAACTGGGCTATCGATTTGAACCGAGGAAAATAGTTGGGTTCCAATATGACTTTGTTTTCTTCGTGAGTTTTCCAGCTGGTAGAGCTATTATAAAGGAAAAAGATCACATAAATTTTTTTATTGGATGCGCTGATAATAGCTCTGTTACCTTTACTCATCAATTCGTGTAAGCTAGGCTAATACTTAGAGGGCATCATAGAAATTTTATTAAAAGTATTTATAAGTGATAAGACGGCTGTTGGCATTCATTGGCAAATTTTGTTATAAACGTAAATGATTAGTTTAATAATAATAAAAAGATACTGAGAAAAGGATGTAACCCCCTTCGCAAACAAGGGAGTACTTAAAAAGAAAGTAGGTTACGGCGGTCTCATGTTTTTTGGAGCTGACAACTAATGTCTTTAACTGCTTTAGAGAACCCTCTTTGGATATTTCGTGGCCTTAAACGTTAGAAACTCGAAGCTGTTATTTTTAAGCGCATTGTAGAGGGTAAATATCATTCCAAGAGCATTTTCCAGAGATCCTACTTCTTAAAGAGGGTTTTAATTAGCATCTCTGCCTTTATTAAAGGGCAGCAGTTTTTTAAAAGAGATAAAATATTGGAACTTTAATAATTTTGAGAAAGAAGCTACACTTCCATCACTTTTTATGCTCTATTTTTCATGATTGTCAAAGAGGCATTTCCACACATCTGGGCACCAAAGTATGGGAAAAGTTATTTAGGGTGACCCAAATTAAAATATAGTTGTTATCAAGGATACTTTTATGGAACAGGTAGTTATGTAAGGTACCTAATTAAAATATATATATAATTATCAAGTTATGTGCATAAAATTTTTGAAGAACGGGTCATATATAACATTATTTGTCAGCACTGTAAGTTTGTGTCTGATAGATGAAATAGATGCATTTGGTCACTTGTGTTTCTGCTAGAACTATAATAAAAAGTTAGTTCCTAAAAGGGTGAAATTTTAAATTATGGACTTATGAAGGTTACTTTTTAAGGAAAAGTTAATAATGTAAGGCAAGTAGGTAAAATTTTTATATTAGTTACTCTAAAAAGTAAGTATTAATAATTTTTATAAATTTTTAAAAATAGTAATAAATATAGGTTTATATACCACAGGAATTGTTAACTATCTTATTTGATCTTTAGGTTGCTTTATGAACTTTTCATATCTAAACTCTCTTAATTACAGTTGGCTAAAGCAGTTTACATTTTTAGCAAAAATACTAACACATTTTTATCGTAGTTTCATCTCGTTTCAGTTAGTAGAAGTACTGCTCTTTGAAGTTTATCAATTCCATTCGTTTCACCATAATAAATACCACGAGCGTGCAGAATATTCAACTAAACTTTTAGTAATGCTATTAATAACAGTATTGCCATGCCATCTCTTGCAAAACTATAGTAAACCAAAAAAAAGGTAATTAACGCATCTAAAGTATTAGGTAAAATATGTAGTAATAAAGTGTTCAAAGTATAGTATTTTTTATTAGGTATCCCATACGTAACATCCTACCAATTTTTTCTTTAAAAGTAGTTCACAGTTACTACATGATACTTCATTCTATATATGTTCCGTTAACACTCTTACGTGGTTCTGCATTTCTACAGATTGTTCATAGTAGCTTTGCCGGTAGCAATTTCGATCATTTTTTTGGTCAAGAGGTGAGGAGAATTTCCATCAACTATAACAGTAACTCGGCTACTCAATAATGTGAATGACTTTCTTGTAAGGTTGGATTTATTTGATATTACATTCATTGTTTACTCCATTTAATGTTACTTTTTTTCTAAAATTTTAAAAGTTCCCTGTTTTTTTCTGTTGCTTTAGCCTCATTATAAGGATTACTAGCTTGAAATGACTGAAACAGAAATCGCAAAGTCCATAAAACAGTATATTTTCTTCCATCAGTTAATGCATTTTTCTTCGCTCAAAACATTTAAAAGTCCCCTCAAATCACTGCAGTCCTATTCAACTATTAGCCTTTTTCACTCATCTTTATCAAATTTATCGATTTTACAAATACTCTGATTCATAATGAATGCTACTATTATAACACTGCAGAAACCTCTCATGGTTATGTCTTTGCATCGTTATTTAAAATTAAATATCTTGCTTTAATTAGTTTTTCAAAATCTCTGCTTTCTAAAATCATTAGGGCCTATATCCATGGCCATGCGAGAGCGGTAAGACAATCTATTGCACTCTGAGACAATTAAATATTGTAATGTAAAATTGTTCCTAATCTCATTTTCAAACAGGCTTCGGCATTTTTAAAGTAGTGAAATATTTACTGTACCTAGCCTTTAAATTAGTTAACATTGTTTATTAGAAATGTTTCAACACTGCGTTAAATTCTTTAATTTTTTTCTCAAGTCATTGCCGTCTTATAGGCTGTCATTTATAAAAACCAATTTTAATAAATTCTTCTACCTCGACAACGTACGTATTCCAAAAAGGGTGTAGCCTTCAACTTCTCAAGCTTTAGAAGCTTTAGTTACAAATAGATTTTTCAAATGATTTCTATTTGAACGCGTAAATTCACCAATTCAAGTCTTCTATAACCTGTTTAAATCAAAGCTTAAATTATTAAACTGAACTTAAACGTCAGTTACTTTAAGCACTTCCTTTCAAATCATTAATTCCCCTCAAGGGCAGTTAATTCAATTTTTTCTTTTGTAATTTATAAACTATTCCCGAGAAATTAAATTATTTGCTTTGTCAGATAAACCCCTCAACCTCAATATTACAAAAGCTCTTTAAGCCAAATTTCTTTAGCATTACTAATATATACCTCATATTCTTCATTCCAAATGGAATCTTTAATTTTTTTCGGTACTTCGTAACTTACGACCTCACATTTAGTAAGGTTACTTATAAAAGAACCTTAAAATATACACTGCGGATTATATCATATCGATAGAGGCCCAAATACCCTTATCAGTGTACCATAATATACCATTTTATTAAACAATTTTGTTACTAACTCTCACCATATAATTTACGGGGGACTATAAATTCAAATCCTATAATTTAAATTTTCCAAAAACTAATATACTATCACCGATTTCGTCATTTTAAAATTTATAGTTTACAAAGGACACTCGAATAATACTATTTCAAAGAAGAGGATTATTTGTAATACAAAACCTAATGAGGTATCATTGTGTCGATTAATGCCTCTATCAACACTATGAACTGACTTTAATTATAATTGATAAGACTTTACTGCATCAGATAGGAAAATAATTCGAGTGTGTAAAAAAATTAAATTGTATTAAAGTAAATTTTTTTAACTAAGCTTTGGTGGTCAATAGCTTCTCACAGACGTTGAAATGTTTTCTTTAAGTTCATCAGTGAATTTTAAAAGATTGACAAAGTTTAAAAGGTTTTAATCTTAGTCAAATTTATTATATACATAAAGGGAATAAAGAAAAAAAACCATGTAGTTAAATGTTGATAGAAATTTACGTATGACTAAAACTTTTTCGTTTCTTCAGTTAAAGATTTTTCAGAAGTCTGTAGTTATTTTGCTTAAAGTATATCATTGATGAGTTTCAAATAATTTAAATAATGAACAGTATCTCTTAAAGTTGGATACTTTTTACCGTAGTCAGAAATACTCGTTGAAAAATGAGCTTTTATATTTAGGTGGCTAACAATTATTGCGTCCAAAAAACTTAAATAATTAGTGACTAAAAGTCGTTGTCGAACGGCGTATTTTATGACTTTATAGCCTATTTGTTTTATTTAAATATATCTTTATACTATAAGGAGTCGCTATTCAATATAATTCTTATCCTACGGGGGCTTAATAATAGTGTAATTTTAGAATAATAGCTTAAGTTAGAATTTGCTGAGAATGGATAATATGACTCAAAGGAAGGCACAATCTTTTCGGACCTTTTAACTTTCAAAAATATTTGACCAAGTTACTATAACTGAACTAAAGAATGTTTATATGTACATCTAACTAAAAAGGTTCCATATGCAACTAGGAAATAACAAATGATATAATACGGCAAATTTCAATTTAGTGTTTCACTCAAAATTAACAAAAAAAATAGGTTAAATAATTGGTGATAATAAAAAAAGGATAAACTTCGGAGACTAACAGAAATATTACCACTACACGAGAATTAATTAAAAATATAAGAACTGCATGTATGGTGCTTCTATTTAACCAGGTTGAAAACTAGTGAAGAGGATCTTGCGTAATTGTTCTAAAACTAAAATAAAATTTCTGGCTAGTGACTAAAATTGTATAGACTGACGAAAAAAAGTTGGTGCCAAATAAAAAAAGTAATAAATTTATGACGAGAAATTCAAATATTTCTTTAACACATTGAGGGGCGTCACACCTTGGTAAACACATATGAACCTACAACTCGCTAGTAGGCTGGAGGTGACTAAGATAACATTATATAACTGGAAGTAAAAAGGTCAATGGAAACTACGACAATTCCAATCGCTGCTTTAAAAATTTAATATACATTAGTTATACTCATAATTTTTTAAAACTAAGTAAAAAAAATTACGCTTTGATAAAGCTTAAAAAGTTAGTTATTAACAACAAAAATATTATTTTAAAAACGAACCCCGTACAGTTTATTTTAAAAACGCTATATACAGTACCACTATTCAAGCACTATAATGCAAGTTAACAGCATTATTGTGGCAATAGTTATTAAAGTCCTCGGACAGATAGCCGAAGACTGTTTAGCTTTAGCATCAAGATTCGGAAAAACCTTAGATGACGTAATGTCAGTATTCATGTTCAAGAGCACAGTATTTTGAACGCTATTTTTTGAGGAAGTGGAAGTTTTATCGATTTTTGATGACTCCATAGAAGCTCCAACTCCTGGATGTACTGTGGCGCTACCACTACTTGTTGCAGGCTCCTTAGTAGTAAACTCAATCTCTGGTGAAATCTTAGGCATTACATTATCACCCGGGGTCGTAGCTCTGTTACTGCTTTTCTCTGTAGAGGAAGTAGTCCCAACACTACCCGCTACAGGCGGTTCAACTTTAACTATAATTTTCGCTGTAACCTCGCGCTTTACAGGCGGTATAACTCTAACCTCAACTTTTGCTCTCCCCGGAGAGATTACATTAACATTGGTTTTTTTATCAAAATTAAAAAATTCTCCATAACTGTGTTTACGAATAATAATAGATTACTAATAAGCTAAATAGTTAATTACATAAAATAACTATATCCACGAAAATGATTTACATTAATATATCATATCAATAAAAAAAAAAAAATTCCAAGTTCATTAACTGAACTAGAAAAAATTAATAAGGACGGCAATAAACCTTAATGCATTCCCAAATATATGTCCATCCTTATAAAGTTTACTATTAGCTAAAACAAGTTTTAATAAAGTAATGATAAAAAATATATATAAAGTACATTTCAAACAAGGTATTTTTTTCCAAATTTTCTTAAGATCATCCTTCTTACTAGAAGAAAACTCCAAGAGGTTCTCTGGAAGATGATAAGGACTCATAACATAAGTCGATGTATCATGCTATATTTAAGTTCAATTGGGGCCTTTTTAAATATATATATAAATTTACAGTTAATCCAAGACTATGACCTATTTCATGTGCCAATATCAACGTTTGAGAATAGAAAGGTTTGGATTCTTCATTCTTAAAGTTTACAAATAAGACGTTCTGATAAACTAATTCTCCGTTATCTATGGTATGTTCATGGGAACATATAGCCCCTAAAACGGATCTCCCCCTGCAACCCTGAAGTTCAAGTAATGTAAACAAGATGGCAAGGTCATACTGAGAATAGTTTTCAGTGCCAAATTTTCTTAAGATCTAAAAATAAACCAATTCGTCACGTAACCAAATAAACAGTAAAATTAACGTTATTAACCTGGGCCCCGCTTAAAGTAGGAATGGTTGCCGGATTGACGGGCCCAGGGGACATGTATATTTCATAATCTGAAAATTAACTTAAAAACTTCAAAAGCCACTGCAAATGTATGCTACTTACCACCGGTAAATGTTAATATTTCCCTAGGGTCATTAAATACGTTTTGTTTAGCATAAAAACTACTAACAGCTCGTAAAAGCCTATCCATTTTTGCTACGGTTCCTAGTTCATTTGTGTTAGTCTTATTAAAATAACTCACTGATAAATATTCCTCAAGTTACGCACTGTCGATATTATCTCCATTAGCAGAAAAGACCGTGTGATCCGCGACTAGATGAAAATTAAAAAAATATTGTTTTTCTGGCAATACTTGAGGGCTATGCTTAGACTAAAATAGAATAATATTTATAAGGAGATGTGCAATTATAACACAAATTCGAAAAATTCCGTTTCTAATATAGTAGTGTGGCTTCAAAATATTACAATAAAAGGTTATATTACATACAATACTAAATTTACGTTATTATTTCCTTTATAGACAATATGAGTATAATGTCCACTATCTTCTGAAGATTTCTCACAACTTTCAATAACATACATCTCATTTTCTATGAATACAAAGGCCTGAAAAGTAGTAATTAATAAAGATTCAAATAAACTTAAACAAACGGGATTATATTAACCTCAAAAGTCCCGTTAATAACGTGGCCGTAAAAAAAGGATGTCCTATCTACACATTATATTAGTAAAGATATATTGTATGGATATTATAAGTGTATACCTTCTGCAAACCCCACATAAGACTTTAGCATATAATTAATTGTATATGTTTTTTTATCCTCCCGTAAAGTGAGAGTCAAATTTTTAACAATTTGCTTTATTGTAAAAGCCACTAAAAACAATTAAACAGAACTATACTACTAATTAAAAAATTTTACCTGGAATAGAAGGAAATAAAAGAGTCTCATATTGTAAAGTTTCGATATCCTGGTTAGAGTTAAATGAGTTTACAAATTCTGTGTAATCTCTTTTGAAGTAAGTATATTCATTACGCGATGAACAAGGAGCTGTGTATAAATCTTTAATAAAAGATAAAATTAAAAGCAGAAATTCTAAATAAAAAGTAGTAGCATAAATGTTCGCCATAATTTTATATAAAGGCAACTCACACACATTCTTTATAGATTCTCGTGGTACCCTTTAAAAAACAAAAAAAAAATTAATTGGTTCACATCACATTTTTAGAAATTTTTTTTCTGGTATTTTACATGCTTAAATCACACGCATTTTATTCCTTGAATTCCAAGCATGGAGATAGAATTATTGTTTTTTTTCACGTGTTAGAGCTCGACACAAGAAATAAATTATTTCCTTCCCCATTAGCATGGTGGTAGAGAATGATATGAGCACGTGGAATGAATCGTTTGTTTGGAATCCAGGAACATCTTAATTTTACGTTAGTAAATATGGGCAAGTTTTATAAAATTTATAATAGTAGATAGCTGACTATTTACTATTAAAAATTATAATAATAATAATAATAATAATAATAATAATAATAATAATAATAATAATAATAATAATAATAATAATAATAATAATAAAGGACTTTTATGCCTCGAGCTATGATAGGATAGCAAAATAATTAGGGTAGTTATAATTTCTACTAATTAAAATCGGTTTTATAGCTCAAGACTTTGAGGGCAGGTTTATAAATAAAGTTTTTGGATACCTAGTTGGTAGAAACTAGGTTTTTAGTGCTCTAGGATAAAGTTTATATAAATAGGACACTTTTATTAATTTTTTATAAAATGCAGGAAAAAGTTACCAGTTTTATTTAAAATTCCTGGTTCAGTAATGATTCTGTACTAATATAATAATTTAAGATATATATTAAATAAATTTAGTTTAATTATTTTTCGTAGATAAATCCTTTTTCTTTTCTTCTCTTAGCTTTCAAATATATAAGAGGAATTTTTTAACGCCTTAAAAACTCCAATAAGGGATTTTTATTTTTGTCAAAACAAACAACTTATGCAATAGGTTAATATAATATATTACTTTCGTTATATATTTACTTCAAATTTACGTTTTATTAAACTTCCTAAAAACTGCTTTTTTTTTTTAATTTTTATGTAAATCACTATTAAAAAATATATTAACATGTTTTTTTTACTTTTATTTTTAATTACTTCACATACTCTTAGCTTCAGAATTTCAAATAAAAAGAATTTTTGTAAATCTAACGAATTTAAAGTAACCTTTACTAGGTTTCTAATAATAGTATTTAATGCTATTTTAATCAAAGTTCTATGAAGGAAATTAAGCTAGTGTTGATTTTACGGACCTTAAGTCCCTAAAACTAGTATATTATATTAAAAGTCATATAATATAGTAGATTGTATAGTATAAAATGTAAGATATTATTATATAGAGATGAAGACGTAAATACGGTAATAATTAACTAGGCTAGTGCAAACTACTATTGAAACAAAAGAACGACGGACGCGAACCATTTTACACATTTGCCGTTATGCCCTCAAGGGTAACGCTCTGGTGGATGCGCTTGTAATAAAACGTTAAGGAAAGGAACTTTCTTGTTAAGTTTTTAATTAATTTTATTAAGAGAGAATTTATCCTTAACCATAACAAAAAATAAATACAAAAGGACAAGTATTAGTTTATCAAAATTGCAACTGAATGTAGAAAAATTTACTGAAAAGTAGTAATTACAATGTTACATTATGGAAAGGGTCTGTTTTATTAAAAAAAAAAGCAAAAGTTTTACAATGTAAACAATGTTATGTCCATTTGTCTATCATCCCTAATTGAATTATAATTTTTTTCTTTTTATTTATCTAGCAGGGACATTAGTAACATTTTTTACTTATAGAAAGTGCAAAGTAAGCAAATCAATATGTAATTTGTTCACCATTAGAGTAAAAAAAAAAAATCGATGTTACGCGTGCACTTCCGCATTAACCCAATACAAAATTTTAAATATTGGGTTAGCGTAAAATTTATGTAACTAAGTATATGATTTGTTACTACTATAGAGTGAGGGCTTAGGGTTAGCGTGAGTATATAAAGGCCACATGAAGGACACTGGTCTATTTTTTCCTTTCTCTCTTCTAGATCTAGGTCACTCATTGTGTGCAGATTGGACTTTTCCTACAAGGATACTTTAGTAAACAAGAGGTAATTTTCTTAGTGTAATGTAACATTTATTTTTTTTAAAAAAGTTACTTGTTATAATATAGTGTTAACGAGGTTTATTACCTTAAAGTGCGAACATCCTTAGAAAAATTTTCTCTAACTTTATTATGTAACTGGATTAAACTTGCTACTCTTTCAAAAAATTGTACACCAACAATAATTTTATGTCTTAACTGTTAGTTGACCATTAAGCTTAAATATCATAAATATTCATGGCAGAAGTATGCACTGACAAAATAATTAGATTAAGTATACATCGCATTAAAATCTGAAGAGGTTAGGTATAGCATGGTTTATTAGAATTTAGGAGGTTAAATACGCGGTCATCAAAGACCGAAAAAGAGAGTTGGGTCAGTGGGGACCCACGACCTTGAGTTATGCACGTCAATGCTCTTAACTACTCAGTCAGGACGACTCCCGAAATGATGTTTGTAGGTATTTAACCTGTTAGAGGCCCCATAACCTAAGCTCCCCAAGTACTAACACAGCAAAAATAAGGCACACTGGATTCACGTAAACAGTTTGGTAGGGTATTGACTTTTTAAAGGGGCTCGAGTGCTTAATTTACTGTTCTCAAATTATCCGAAGACCTGAGCAAAATAACTTTTTATTAAGATGAACTAGCATTTTTTAAAAGTAAATAGGCACTACATTTTATCCTAGCTTGTGGGGCTTTAAACCTGAGCTAAAAATCTAAGGTGTTGTCCATGATCTTTAAACTAAGGACAGTGCAACTGTGGTCGAATGGTAGGAGATCATAAAAGGAACTTTCTACTTTAGTGGAACAAGGTAGTCAGTTTCATAGTTATTCAGTTTTATGTCTTTGGTATACATCAGGGTAATAATGATGGGTTAGATACCATAAAGTTAATAACATTAACACCAAGAAATTGATCTGATTCAGTGTGAAAAACGTTGCGTACTCTAGCTAATTAGCCCAACTCTATGCTACCAACTAAACTATTGTGCTAGCTAAAGAAAGTCTTAAAGTTTATTGTAAGGTAATATGAACTTTAGTAACTATTGGTTCTAGTTTTATAGTAGAGCTGATGTATCTGAGATTAGTATTTGTACTGGTAGTATCAAACTTAGTTCAGATTTAAACCTAGGGATCGCCTCTTTACTCAAGAAATTATTTGAATAACACAACGAATTTTCTAGTGGTTAAGTAAACTAAGAAATTAGAATTTAAAAGCAATTTTGCAATTATCTAACCAGCGCACTAGATTTGATACCTTAACTAAAAAGGTCGACTTGAGATAACTTTTATATAAATGGCAAGACTATGGCTAGCTTAGCCCAAATGGTTACAGTTGATAAGTATAACATCAATAGTTTGATGAAAAATTAATTCTATGACTAAAGGGATAGTATGCATGGTCAACTCTGGCGATGTACTAGAAAGCATGTTTTTCAAGAAAATAAACCTCGTTTTAGACTAATGGAGTGGAGCATCATAAAACCCTTTGAGGTTAAGTTTTAGTCATGCAACTTGACTTCTCTTCTTGGGTGTTGATATAGTTTTTATAATTTAGAGGCGTACAGTAATTGTTTGTAAAGATATTAAAGATGTTTAAGGGTAAATTTTAATAATTCTTTATTGCTATAATTTTCTATATAAATTTAAATCGGAGATCCTTCACGGGAACTTCCTTCCCTCATATTAAGTAAAGATTTCATATCAGCGCTTAGGCCTTTATAAAAGGAAGTGAAACTGTTAAATGAAATAAATTAAAACTTTATTAATGATATATAATTTCTTTTTAGTCTCCAAATTAACTTTAGTAAGATATACCAGTGCATAACATACGGACATTTCCTAATATAGCACTCTTATGACAAATATGCAACGCCATTCACTTTATTTATAAAAAATTTAGTTTATAAAAAAGTGCAAAGTTTCAATAAATTGTTTTTTAAAATAATTAAAATGTATATTTAACTTTTATCTTAATATCCACAGTTATATTAACATTAAAAACTAATATACTTTTCTTTTAAAATTTCGTTGGCCATAAATTGGTTGTCTATAAAATCGAGCGAATCGTAAATACCGTACCTTAGTCAAAAAACCTTGATAACATTAAGTACCTGCTAATGTGTTATCATAAAATATTTCATCTTCAATATTTAAAGTTCTGTAATCTTCAATATTTTCCATATAATTAGCTTTATGAGGAGCAATCATCTCGTCAAGTTTTTTCTGAATATGAAAAAAGCCTTCTATAAAGATTTAAAAAAAAAATACATTATTATCAATAGTTTTACAAACTTCTATTAATGAGTAACATGTCTCGTTGAAGTTTTTGTAAGGACTGAGTTCTTTAAGCTTATTGCTTTCATAAAATGAAATCATTAAATGTGGTTATACATCTTTTGTGTTAAGCTACAACGATAACTTGTTCTATATAAGCAATTTAAGCATATCTCGGGTTAAAATATTATAACCACCATAAAAAAATAAAGAGCACTTCTCCTGAAAACATTTTTTTACTAAACATACAATCATTTTGACTTAAACTATGCAGTTTATCAACCACTAAGACTTACTCCTTTAACTTTTTAAGAAAGCTTTGTGAATAATTTTAGTTAGTTCCTGAGACATGCTTAAATAACTTTGCTTATAAATAGGTCACCAGCCACGTGATTAGAGTGTGTATCCGCATTAATCTCATAGGCGTGGCGAGCTTCCCCATTCTCCCAGACGGTTTTAAATTTTTCGAAGGGGAATATGCTTGTCTTAAAATAAATAGATTTATTTAGTCAGCATTTTTACAATTTTTTAATATAAGAAGTTAGTTTATATAATTTATATATATACATGGGTAAAGAAATTGTTAAAGATAAGAGTACCGCGTTAAAAATTTGTGCGACTTCCTCTTGTTCACAATATTTATTATAAATATCCCACCAGCGCTGTACGAACGTTGTAAGGCTTGAGTCCATATCACTTCTCGGTAAAACTGTCCGACCTGTTTCATCACGAGCCCAAAGCCAGGGCTTCGAAGGGCCTAATAATTATAAAATTTTAATGTAGTACATAAGGCTAATGTAAAACTACCTTATAAGTAAATGATTTATGTGTTAAAATTATTACTTGCTTATGACTGACTAATAGCAATATTTAATTAAAAAATAAAGTGGTTTGAGATTTATTAATTATTACAATTTATAACACCTCCTGTTATGTATATTTTCAACCGTTTAATTTTGAAATCTTTTTTTTTTATTGTAAAATTGATTTCTTTAATTTATATAGCTTTAGTATTTAAAATTTGTTGATTAAATGCCATTAGTAATTTATCTAAAAGGAAACAAAGGGTTCTATAATAATAAAATTTACCAATAAAATGGATAACTTTTATTTGATGACCATAATATTTATAGGCAGGAAGATAAGAATACCCCGTGCTTATGTTGAAGTTGTAGGTAAAGGGCTAATAGTTTTTGAAAGATTTTAATTGATAGGGGCTGGCTTCCTGAATTATATATCTGTAATAAATTTTAATACCAGATGCTTTTTAATATCTGCAGTAGCCCAGTCATTGAAAAACATATTTAGTAATCCTTGATCACCACCATCGAAACTAAATATGGTCAAAAAACACCTTAGTAAATAAGTAATCAATTTAATATTAACCTTCTATTCATTTTCGCAAATGTAATTAGTTGTGATAATTGTTTCTTGGAAGGAAGGAAAACAAAAACCCCAGAGTTGAAACAATCTTTTTAGTTGATTATTATTAATAAACTCATTAATAAATATTAATTAAGAGTGAAATTAAAGTTTTTTAACTTGTAAAAAAGCAACTCCTTTACAATATACTTTATCTATTTGGGTGGGTATTCTGATATTTATCGTAGAAATAGGTATATTAATGGCGTTTTCATATTATATATTGGTTAAACTTCTATTTTAGTCATTGATAAATATACTTCTAGTGTTACTGCAACAGCCGTTACTATACATCCTAATCACAACTTTAAAATGTTTCCACATGGAATTGGTAAAATTTTATAATTTATAACTTATTTTTTAATATTTAGAAGTTAATTTGCAAAAATTTACGAGATCTTGTATTAAAAACTTATAATAATACCTGGCCATCCCACGTCTGGAGCCGCACTTAATTCTTCCCTTTGAAATATATCGTCAACATTTGAAATTACCAGGGTATCAGCATCCATAAAGCAACATTTTCGAAATTGTGTTAATCCCCAAGCGAGTATTTTTGTTAAAGTAACACCCAATTCAGGACGTTGTAGTATAGCTAAAAATATTTACGGTACCATATCATAAATTGTGATATTATAATAATTTAATTTAAATAATAGTTAAGAATTTTAATCTTTTTTACAAATATTTTAAGTACCCAAATTAGCTGCGTCGTTACTATTTAATTCATTTACCGTAAATACAAAGTCGAACACTGTTCGCAGTCGTTCACTAATTGTATAAAATGTTAGAATTAATAAAATTGAAAAACTGCATATAATAAATAAAGCTAACACGACAGCCCGAGAAATTTTGTCAGTAACAATTACTGACAGCATTCTGCTTGTTTTTACTTCCTTTAAAGAAAGAGCGAGTATTAAGGCTCCTACACCATACTGATTATTCGTTACCAGTGTCACAAAAGATTCGTCTGTAACTGTATTGTAAATTAGTTAAGATTAAATCAGTAATGGACTTCTTATATAAGTCATGTGAAATAAAAAAGCGCATTTGCATGAACCTTTAAGACATGAGTCCATTGCTAACTATGCTAACTATAATGCACTAATTAGAAGTAGAATTATAATAACAGATTTGTTTTTAATTATGAAATAACCTAATGTAGGTTTTACTTACTAATAAACTAAATAATTAATTTGTTACTGAGAGGACAGCCGACTCCTAGCCCAAAATCAGGGATCCAAGCTTTTCACCAATTATGTAAAAACTTTAACATATTTGGAAAGGAGTGAATTCATAAAATATTTATATAGAAATCCATATCCGTCCAACGAAATTTACTATTAAATTGTATTTAATTAAAATAGATTCAACTATTCTATCCTAACCAAAAATGAAAAGATTTATTTAGTAGGTTGCAAACACTGAAGCAGCGAGATTGCCTATAGGATTTCCGTATAATTGTGGTATTAATAGTCATAATATTAAGAAAAAGGGACTTTTCAGGTCGCCCTAGGGTAGGGTTTGT